CACCGTCCCTGGATGGGCACTCCCTGACAGAGGTGGTGGCACTGTCCCTGGACGGGCATTCCCTGATGGGGACAGTGACACTGTGCCTGCCAGACCAGTCCCCACGAGGGATGGTGGCACTGTCCCTGTCAGAGGTGGTGGCACCGTCCCTGGATGGACACTCCCTGACAGAGGCGGTGGCTCTGTCCCTGCCAGACCAGTCCCCACGAGGGATGGTGGCACTGTCCCCACCAGACCAGTCCCCACGAGGAATGGTGGCACTGTCCCTGTCAGAGGTGGTGGCACTGTCCCTGGATGGGCACACCCGGATGGGGACAGTGGCACTGTCCCTGCCAGACCAGTCCCCACGAGGGATGGTGGCACTGTCCCCACCAGACCAGTCCCCACGAGGGACGGTGACACCGTCCCTGCCCGGCCAGCCCGGGAAGGTGACAGTGGCACCGTCCCTGCCGGGGATGGTGGCACTGCCACAGGCCAGCGTGTCCCCGAGGATGGCACGGCCGGGCACCCTGGATTCCACGATGGTGGCGGTGACCCTGGGGATGGAGTCCCCGACCAGGACGGTGGCACTGACAAAGACGGGCGTGTCCACGATGGTGGCAGTGCCCCTGGACAGGCTGGCCCTGACGGGGACAGTGACACTGCCCAGGATCCTCCTGTCCATCACGGTGCCACTGAGAGTGACCAGCGCATCCACGATGGTGGCAGTGCCCCTGGACGGGCAGTCCCTGATGGGGACGGTGGCACTGCCAGCCACCGAGCTGTCCCCAGCGGTGTCACCGGCCCAGAACGGGCTGTCCCTGACGGGGATGGTGGCACTGGCGGTGACAGGCGTGTCCACGATGGTGGCAGTGCCCCTGGATAGGCTGTCCCTGACGGGGACAGTGGCACTGCCAGCAAATGGCCTGTCCCCTGGAGTGCCACTGTCCCTGGAGGGACAGTCCCTGGCAGGAGGGGTGCCACTGTCTGTGACCAGCCTGTCCTCAACAGTGTCACTCAGAGTGACCAGCCTGTCCCCAACGGTGCCACTGTCAGTGACCAGCCTGTCCCCAACGGTGTCACTGTCTGTGACCAGCCTGTCCCCAGTGGTGCCACTCCTACTGACTGGCCTGTCCCCAACAAGGACAGTGACACTGGCAGAGACTGGCATGGCCCTGACAGTGCCACTGCCCTCAGCTGGGCTGTCCCTGACAGGGACAGTGCCACTGCTCCTGCCCGGTCTGTCCCCACTGTCACTGGGCCTGGGCGGCCTGTCCCTGCTGGGCAGGGTGGCACTGCCACTGCTCTTGTCCCCACTGTCACTGCCCCTGTGTGATCTGTCCCTGCTGGGCACGGTGGCACTGCCAGGCCTGTCCCCACTGGTGCCACTGCTCCTGTCCCCAAAGTCACTGGGCCTGGGTGGCCTGTCCCTGCTGGGCACGGTGGCACTGCCCAGTCTGTCCCCAAAGTCACTGGGCCTGTGTGGCCTGTCCCTGACAGGGATGGTGGCACTGCCAGGCCTGTCCCCACTGGTGTCACTGCTCCTGTCCCCACTGTCACTGGGCCTGTATGGCCTGTCCCTGACAGGGACAGTGCTACTGCCACTGCTCCTGTCCCCATTGTCACTGGGCCTGGGTGGCCTGTCCCTGCTGAGCATGGTGGCACTGGCCCTGTGTGACCTGTCCCTGCCCGGCCTGTCCCCAGTGCCACTGTCTCTGGGTGACCTGTCCCTGACGGGGATGGTGGCACTGCCACTGCTCCTGTCCCCAACAGTGCCACTGCTCCTGTCCCCAACGGTGCCACTGTCTCTGGGTGACCTGTCCTTGATGGGGATGGTGGCACTGCCACTGCTCCTGTCCCCAGTGCCACTGTCTCTGGGTGCCCTGTCCCTGACGGGGCTGGTGGCACTGCCACTGCTCCTGGCCCCAGAGCCACTGGCCCTGTGTGATCTGTCCCTGACGGGCAGGGGGGCACTGCCACTGCTCCTGGCCCCAGAGCCACTGGCCCTGTGTGATCTGTCCCTGACGGGCAGGGGGGCACTGCCACTGCTCCTGTCCCCAGAGCCACTGGCCCTGTGTGATCTGTCCCTGACGGGCAGGGTGGCACTGCCACTGCTCCTGTCCCCACTGTCACTGTCTCTGGGTGGCCTGTCCCTGATGGGCACGGTGACACTGCCCAGTCTGTCCCCAAAGTCACCGGGCCTGTGTGACCTGTCCCTGCCATTGCTCCTGTCCCCAGCGGTGCCACCGTCTCTGGGTGACCTGTCCCTGACAGGGATGGTGGCACTGCCACTGCTCCTGTCCCCAGTGCCACTGGCCCTGGGTGGCCTGTCCCTGCTGGAGACGGTGGCACTGCCTGGCCTGTCCCCAGTGGTGGCACTGCTCCTGCCTGGCCTGTCCCCAGGGGTGGCACTGTCCCTGATCTGCCTGTCCCCAGTGGTGGCACTGCTCCTGCCTGGCCTGTCCCCAGTGGTGGCACTGCTCCTGCCTGGCCTGTCCCCAGTGGTGGCACTGTCCCTGCCTGGCCTGTCCCCAGTGGTGGCACTGGCCCTGGCTGTGCTGTCCTTGATTGGGACAGTGGCACTGCTCCTGCCTGGCCTGTCCCCAGGGGTGGCACTGTCCCTGGATGAACTGTCCTTGAGAGGGAAAGTGGCACTGTCCCTACCTGGCCTGTCCCCAGTGGTGGCACTGTCCCTGCCCTGCCTGTCCCTGATGGTGCCACCACCCCTGCCTGGCCTGTCACCAGTGCCACTGTCCCTGGGTGACCTGTCCCTGATGGGGAAGGTGGCACTACCTGGCCTGTCCCCAGGGGTGGCACTGCCACTGCTCCTGTCCCCAATGGTGGCACTGTCCCTGCCCGGCCTGTCCCCAATGGTGGCACTGTTCCTGCCCAGCCTGTCCCCAATGGTGGCATTGCTCCTGACTGGCCTGTCCCCAACAGCAGTGGCCCTGGCTGCGCTGTCCCTGACAGGGATGGTGGCACTGTCTCTGACTAACCTGTCCCCACAGGTGGCACTGTCTCTGACTGTCCTGTCCCCAGGGGTGGCACTGTCTCTGACTAACCTGTCCCCAGGGGTGGCACTGTCTCTGACTAACCTGTCCCCACAGGTGGCACTGTCTCTGACTAACCTGTCCCCACGGGTGGCACTGTCTCTGACTGTCCTGTCCCCAGGGGTGGCACTGTCTCTGACTAACCTGTCCCCAGGGGTGGCACTGTCTCTGACTAACCTGTCCCCAGGGGTGGCACTGTCTCTGACTAACCTGTCCCCGGGGGTGGCACGGTCTCTGGGTGCCCTGTCCCTGCCAGGGATGGTGACACTGGCCCTGCCCTGCCTGTCCCCAGGGGTGGCACTGGCCTTGGGTGAGCTGTCCTTACTGGGGACAGTGGCACTGCCACCAGCCAGCCTGTCACTTGTGGGGCTGGTGGCACTCCTGGGGACCGGCCTGTCCCCCGAGGTGGCACTGTCTCTGACTAACCTGTCCCCACGGGTGGCACTGTCTCTGACTAACCTGTCCCCACGGGTGGCACTGTCTCTGACTAACCTGTCCCCACGGGTGGCACTGTCTCTGACTAACCTGTCCCCACGGGTGGCACTGTCTCTGACTAACCTGTCCCCACGGGTGGCACTGTCTCTGACTAACCTGTCCCCACGGGTGGCACTGTCTCTGGGTGAGCTGTCCCTGACAGGGATGGTGGCACTGCCACTGATGGGCTTGTCCCTGACAGGAACAGTGGCACTGCCACCAGCCAAGCTGTCCCTGGTGGGAATGGTGGCACTCCTGGTGACCGGCCTGTCCCCAGAGGTGGCACTGTCTCTGGGTGAGCTGTCCCTGATGGGGACAGTGGCACTGCCACCATCCGGCCTGTCCCCAGGGGTGCCACCGTCCCTGGATGTGCTGTCCTTACTGGGGACGGTGGCACTGCCCCTGCCCGGCCTGTCCCCAGGGGTGGCACTGCCACTGGATGGGCTGGCCTTGGAAGGGACAGTGGGGACAGTGGCACTCCTGGTGACCGGCCGGGCCCCAGAGGTGGCACTGCCCAGGGATGAGCTGTCCCCGACAGGGACAGTGGCACTGCCCCTGCCCGGCCTCTCCCCAGGGGTGGCACTGCCACTGGATGGGCTAGCCTTGGAAGGGACAGTGGGGAGCGGGGCACTCCTGGTGACCGGCCGGGCCCCAGAGGTGGCACTGCCCAGGGATGAGCTGTCCCTGACAGGGATGGTGGCATTTCCCGGCCTGTCCCCAGGGGTGGCACTGCCACTGGATGGGCTGGCCTTACTGGGGACAATGCCACTGCCACCAGCCGAGCTGTCCCTGACAGGGACAGTGGCACTGCCCCTGCCCAGCCTGTCCCCAGGGCCGCCAACCCTGGATGAGCTGTCCCTGGTGGCAATGGTGGCACTCCTGGTGACCGGCCTGTCGCCAGTGTCACTGTCCCTGGATGAGCTGTCCCTGGTGGCAATGGTGGCACTCCTGGTGACCGGCCTGTCGCCAGTGTCACTGTCCCTGGATGAGCTGTCCCTGGTGGCAATGGTGGCACTCCTGGTGACCGGCCTGTCGCCAGTGTCACTGTCCCTGGATGAGCTGTCCCTGGTGGCAATGGTGGCACTCCTGGTGACCGGCCTGTCCCCAGGGCTGGCACTGCCCCTGGCTGCATTGTCCTTGGCAGGGACAGTGGCACTGCCACCATCCAGCCTGTCCCCAGTGGTGGCAGTGCCACTGGATGGGCTGTCCCTGACAGGGATGGTGGCACTCCTGGTGACCGGCCTGTCCCCAGTGTCACTGTCCCTGGATGAGCTGTCCCTGGTGGGAACGGTGGCACTCCTGGTGACAGGCCTGTCCCCAGAGGTGGCACTGTCTTGGGGTGAGCTGTCCTTACTGGGGACAGTGACACCACTGACCGGCCTGTCCCTGACAGGGACAATGACACTGCCACCAGCCGGGCTGTCCCTGACAGGGATGGTGGCTCTCCTGGTGACCGGCCTGTCCCCAGAGGTGGCACTGTCTTTGGGTGAGCTGTCCTTACTGGGGACAGTGACACCACTGACCGGCCTGTCCCTGACAGGGACAATGACACTGCCACCAGCCGGGCTGTCCCTGACAGGGACGGTGGCACTCCTGGTGACAGGCCTGTCCCCAGGGCTGGCACTGTCCCTGGGTGAGCTGTCCTTATTGGGGACAGTGGCACTGCCACCAGCTGGGCTGTCCCTGACCCATATGGTGGCACTCCTGGTGACAGGCCTGTCCCCAGGGCTGGCACTGTCCCTGGGTGAGCTGTCCTTATTGGGGACAGTGGCACGGCCACCAGCTGGGCTGTCCCTGACAGGGATGGTGGCACTCCTGGTGACAGGCCTGTCCCCATGGGTGGCACTGATCTTGGATGGACTGGCTTTGACAGGGACAGTGGCACTGCCACCAGCTGTGGGGACAGTGGCACTCCTGGTGACCGGCCTGTCCCCAGGGCTGGCACTGCCCCTGGCTGCATTGTCCTTGGCAGGGACAGTGGCACTGCCACCAGCTGGGCTGTCCCTGGTGGGGATGGTGGCACTCCTGGTGACAGGCCTGTCCCCAGGGGTGGCACTGCCACTGGATAGGCTGGCCTTGACAGGGACGGTGGCACTCCTGGTGACCGGTTTGTCCCTGACAGGGACAGTGGCACTGCCACCAGCCGGACTGTCCCTGATGGGAGTGGTGGCACTCCTGGTGACAGGCCTGTCCCCCGTGTCCCTGGGTGAGCTGTCCCTGATGGGGACAGTGGCACTGCCAGCGGCTGGGCTGCCTTCAGTGGTGGCAGTGCCACCATCCCTGTCTGGGCTGTCCTCAACAGGGGTGGTGGCATTGTCACCGTCTGGCCTGTCCCCAGTGTCACTGGCCATGGCTGAGCTGTCCCTGACGGGGACAGTGGCACTGCCACCAGCTGAGCTGTCCCTGATGGGAATGGTGGCACTCCTGGTGACCGGCCTGTCCCCGGTGGTGGCACTGCCACCATCTGGCCTGTCCCCAGTGTCACTGGCCATGGCTGAGCTGTCCCTGACAGGGACAGTGGCACTGCCACCACCAAGAGAGCCACCAGTGGCGACCGGGCTGTCCCCAAGGGGGGCAGTGACACTGCCACCACCAGGAGAGCCACCACCAGGGACGCTGTCACTGTCTGAGCTGTCCCCAAGGGGGATGGCGACACTGTCCAGGCTGTCCCCAACAGGGACGGTGACACTGCCACTGTCCAGGCTGTCCCCAACAGGAACAGTGACACTGCCACTGTCCAGGCTGTCCCCAAGGGGAACGGTGACACTGCCACTGTCCAGGCTGTCCCCAACAGGGACGGTGACACTGCCACTGTCCAGGCTGTCCCCATGGGGAACAGTGACACTGCCACTGTCCAGGCTGTCCCCAGGGGGGACAATGACACTCTCCAGGCTGTCCCCAGGGGGGATGGTGACACTGCCACTGTCCATGGTGTCCCTAAGGGGGACGGTGACACTCTCCAGGCTGTCCCCAACAGGGACAGGGACACTGCCACTGACCAAGCTGTCCCCAGGGGGGACAATGACACTGTCCCCAGGGGCGATAGTGGCACTTCCCTCAGCTGGGCTGTCCCTAATGGGGACAGTGACACTGCCACTGCCCATGCTGTCCCCGGGGAGCACGGTGGCACTGTCCATGCTGTCCCCAAGGCCAACACTGCCACTGTCCATGCTGTCCCCGGGGAGCACGGTGGCACTGTCCATGCTGTCCCCAAGGCCAACACTGCCACTGTCCATGCTGTCCCCGGGGGGCACGGTGACACTGTCCATGCTGTCCCCAAGGGGGACAGTGACACCATCCAAGCTGTCCCCACCAGCCCCCACATCACTGTCCGCATCCATGTCCTCCCCAGCGTCCCCGCCGGCCACCTCCGTGTCCCCGAATGCCACAGTGGCACTGCCACCCCCGGCCGAGTCCCCTGGGGGCGAATCCCCTCCCTCCTCCCCCTTGGGGACCTCCACACCCTCGGGTGACCCCGCCGCGTCCCCCGGCCTCTTCCTCGGCCTCCCCCTCCTCCTCTTGTGCGCGGGTCCCTCCCCGGCCCCTTCCTGGGGACGCTTGGTGGCCTTGGTGCCACCTCCGCGCTGTCCCTCGCCGTCCCCTCCCGCCCTGGCGCCGCCTCCGGGGGTCTCAGCGCAGGGCGGGACCCCCACCCCGGGCAGCAGCACGTTGAGCACGGGGATGGCTGCGGGGGGGCTCAGCAGCCCGGAGCCCCCCGGGGCCAGCGCCGTCCCCACGGGCAGCGGCAGGGCCACCTTGACCGTGCCACCCAAGGGTGCCGCCGTCAGCTTGGGGACAAGGACGGGAGGGGACGGGCGCAGCGGGGCGGCGCCGGGGGCCGGGGGTCGCTCCGGGGGGGGGATGCGGGGCAGCAGGAGGGGCAGCCGGGCCACCAGGGCGGTCACCTGGGGGCTGCTGGCCGGCCTGGGGGGCTCTGAGGGTTTCTTCTTGTCCGGCCGCGATGGGAGGTGGCCCTTGGGGACAGCATCCTTCTTGGGCTGGGGACAGCGAGGGGACAGCGGGGTCAGCCGGAGGGGTCAGCCCGGCCCTCCTGGGGGGGTTTGGGGAGGGGTCCCTCACCTGCTCCTGGCTGCGCTCGCCGCTGTCAGAGGGGTCCGGGCCGTTCTTGCGGGGGGCTGAGGGAGGCCGGGGGTCCTGGGGGGGCTTGTCCGTGGTTTCTGTGGGAGAGGGGAGGTGACACGGGGACAGGGGACACTGGGAGGGGACGGGGGACACTGGGAGTGTCCCCAAGGGGTGACAATGACCCAGGGTGGGGGGTGATGGCAGTGTCCCCAGTGAGGTGTCAGTGTCCCCAGTGAGGTGTCAGTGTCCCCAGTGAGGTGTCAGTGTCCCCAGGGGTGGTGTCAGTGTCCCCAGTGAGGTGACAGTGTCCCCAGGGGTGATGTCAGTGTCCCCAGCGAGGTGACAGTGTCCCCAGCGAGGTGTCAGTGTCCCCAGTGAGGTGACAGTGTCCCCAGGGGGGGTGACAGTGTCCCCAGGGGTGATGTCAGTGTCCCCAGCGAGGTGTCAGTGTCCCCAGGGGTGATGTCAGTGTCCCCAGTGAGGTGTCAGTGTCCCCAGGGGTGATGTCAGTGTCCCCAGCGAGGTGTCAGTGTCCCCAGTGAGGTGACAGTGTCCCCAGGGGTGATGTCAGTGTCCCCAGCGAGGTGTCAGTGTCCCCAGTGAGGTGTCAGTGTCCCCAGTGAGGTGACAGTGTCCCCAGTGAGGTGACAGTGTCCCCAGTGAGGTGTCAGTGTCCCCAGTGAGGTGACAGTGTCCCCAGTGAGGTGTCAGTGTCCCCAGTGAGGTGACAGTGTCCCCAGGGGTGATGTCAGTGTCCCCAGTGAGGTGACAGTGTCCCCGGGGTGCTGACCTGCCACCACCATGGCCATGAGGAGGTCGGCGTGTGCGGAGCGGGAGCTGATGATGTGCTGCTGCAGCAGGAACTGCGCCACCTCCACGATGTTGTTGAAGGAGCGCTTGAGGATCTTCTCAGCCCAGTCACACGTCAGGGCACAGGCGGCCTCCGTCACCTCCGAGCTGTACGAGGGTACCAGCTCCGACAGCTCCGCCTGTTGGGACAGTGTCACATTGTCACAGTGTCACAGTGTCACAGTGTCACAGTGTCACCTCCGTCACCTCTGTCACATTGTCACAGTGTCACAGTGTCACCTCTGTCACCTCTGTCACCTCTGTCACATTGTCACAGTGTCACAGTGTCACCTCTGTCACCTCCGAGCTGTACACTGCACCAGCTCTGACAGCTCCGCCTGTTGGGACAGTGTCACAGTGTCACAGTGTCACAGTGTCACCTCTGTCACCTCTGTCACCTCTGTCACATTGTCACTGTGTCACCTCCGTCACCTCCGAACTGTACGAGGGTACCAGCTCCGACAGCTCCGCCTGTTGGGACAGTGTCACATTGTCACAGTGTCACAGTGTCACATTGTCACAGTGTCACAGTGTCACAGTGTCACAGTGTCACAGTGTCACAGTGTCACCTCCGTCACCTCTGTCACATTGTCACAGTGTCACAGTGTCACCTCTGTCACCTCCGAGCTGTACGAGGGTACCAGCTCTGACAGCTCCGCCTGTTGGGGACAGTGTCACATTGTCACAGTGTCACAGTGTCACAGTGTCACCTCTGTCACATTGTCACCTCTGTCACTGTGTCACAGTGTCACAGTGTCACCTCTGTCACAGTGTCACAGTGTCACATTGTTACAGTGTCACAGTGTCACAGTGTCACAGTGTCACCTCTGTCACAGTGTCACAGTGTCACAGTGTCACAGTGTCACATTGTTACAGTGTCACAGTGTCACAGTGTCACAGTGTCACCTCTGTCACAGTGTCACCTCTGTCACAGTGTCACCTCTGTCACAGTGTCACCTCTGTCACTGTGTCACAGTGTCACAGTGTCACCTCTGTCACAGTGTCACAGAGTCACCTCTGTCACCTCCGAGCTGTACACTGCACCAGCTCTGCCAGCTCTGCCTGTTGGGGACAGGGACAGCGTCACCTCTGTCACCTCTGTCACCTCTGTCACATCTCATTAAAAATCCCATAAAAAAAAACCACAAATCCCACAAAAAATCCAATAAAAATCCCATAAAAAATTCCATTAAAAATCCCATAAAAATCCAATAAAAAAACCATAAAAAATCCCATAAATCCCATCAAAAAACCCATAAAAAAATCCCATAAAAAATCTAAAAAATCCCTAAAAAAATCCCACAAATCATCCCAATAAAAATCCCATAAAAAAATCTAAAAAAATCCCTAAAAAAATCCCACAAATCCCATAAAAAATCCCATTAAAAAATCTAAAAAATCCCCAAAAAAATCCCACAAATCCCACAAAAAATCCCAATAAAAATCCCATAAAAAATCTTTAAAAATCCCTAAAAAAATCCCACAAATCCCATAAAAAAATCCCATCAAAAATCCCATCAAAAATCCCATCAAAAATCTAAAAAATCCCAAAAAAAATCCCACAAATCCCATAAAAAAATCTCATAAAAAATCCCACAAATCCCACAAAAAATCCCAATAAAAATCCCAATAAAAATCTAAAAAAATCCCATAAAAAATCCCACAAATCCCATAAAAAAATCTCATAAAAAATCCCACAAATCCCACAAAAAATCCCAATAAAAATCCCAATAAAAATCTAAAAAAATCCCATAAAAAATCCCACAAATCCCATAAAAAAATCTCATAAAAAATCCCACAAATCCCACAAAAAATCCCAATAAAAATCCCAATAAAAATCTAAAAAAATCCCATAAAAAATCCCACAAATCCCATAAAAAAATCTCATAAAAAATCCCACAAATCCCACAAAAAATCCCACAAATCCCACAAAAAATCCCAATAAAAATCTAAAAAAATCCCTAAAAAAATCCCACAAATCCCATAAAAAATCCCATAAAAAATCTAAAAAAATCCCTAAAAAAATCCCACAAATCCCATAAAAAAATCCCATCAAAAATCCCATAAAAAATCTAAAAAAATCCCTAAAAAAATCCCACAAATCCCACAAAAAATCCCATCAAAAATCCCATAAAAAATCTAAAAAAATCCCCAAAAAAATCCCACAAATCCCACAAAAAATCCCAATAAAAATCCCAATAAAAATCTAAAAAAAATCCCTAAAAAAATCCCATAAATCCCATAAAAAATCCCATAAAAAATCTAAAAAAATCCCTAAAAAAATCCCACAAATCCCATAAAAAATCCCATAAAAATTCCCACAAATCCCACGGATCCCAGCCCTGGAAAGGCGGCGCACTCACGGTCTCGGTGGCTTTCAGGTCCAGGCTGGGCAGGGGAGGAAGGCTCACCACCGTCTTCCTCCGGATCCCACCGTAGCAGTACGTGGGGAGGAAGAGTCAAGGATTTGGGAATTTCCAACCAGGATGAACCAAAAAAAACGGGAAGAGACACCGGGAGAACCCTCAGGAATGGGGGAAAATGGGGGAAATGGGAAAAAAATGGGAGGAAATGGGGAAAAATGGGGAAAAACTGGGGGGAAATGGGAAAAAAATGGGGGAAAATGGGAAAAAATGGGAAAAAACTGGGGGGAAATGGGAAAAAAATGGGGGAAAATGGGAAAAAATGGGAAAAAATGGGAAAGAATGGGGAAAAGTGGGAAAGAATGGGGAAAAATGGGAAAGAATGGGGAAAAGTGGGAAAGAATGGGGAAAAGTGGGTAAGAATGGGAAAAAGAATGGGAAAAAATGGGAAAAGAATGGGAAAAAATGGGAAAAAAACAGGAAAAAAAGAGGAAAAGAAGGGAATAAAAGGGAAAAAACAGGAAAAAATGGGAAAAAATGGGAAAAAACTGGGAGAAAAAGAGGAAAAATGGGAAAAAAACCCCAGGGAAACAGCTGGGGAAAATGGGAAAAAAACAGGAGAAGAAAGGGAAAAAAAACTGGGGAAAAAAGAGGGAAAATGGGGAAAAAAACAGGGAAAAGCTGTGGAAAATGGGGAAAAAATGGGGAAAAAAACCAGGAAAAGAAGGGAATAAAAGGGAAAAACCAGGATAAAATGGGAAAAGCAGCAGGAATTCCAGCAGGGGAAGGATATTTGGATTGTCCTCGGCCTCCCAGGCGCCGGGCTTTGATGTTTGGGAAGATTTCCCGGATGATTTTGCCGAAATTGGCCGTGCTCAGGGGGCGGCAGCCGAGGTTGTCACAGTAACGCCTGAGGGAGGGATGGGGGGAAAAAAGGGGGAAATCCTGGGATATTCCAAGGGAATTCCAGGGATGTGGGATGGTCGTGGGATGTGGGATGTGGGATTTGGGATGAGAGATATGGAATTTGGATGTGGGATTTGGGATTTGGGATTTGGGATTTGGGATGTGGGATTTGGGATGTGGGATGTGGGATATGGGATTTGGGATTTGGGATGTGGGATTTGGGATTTGGGATTTGGGATTTGGGATGTGGGATGTGGGATTTGGGATTTGGGATTTGGGATGTGGGATGTGGGATTTGGGATTTGGGATGTGGGATGTGGGATTTGGGATGTGGGATATGGGATGTGGGATATGGGACATGGGACACCAGGACAGGAGGTCATGGGACACCAGACCATGGGACACCAGGCCATGGGGACACCAGGACACCAGGACACCAGGCCATGGGGACACCAGGCCATGGGGACACCAGGACACCAGGCCATGGGGACACCAGGACACCAGGCCATGGGGACACCAGGCCATGGGGACACCAGGACACCAGGCCATGGGACACCAGGCCATGGGACACCAGACCATGGGGACACCAGGACACCAGGCCATGGGACACCAGGCCATGGGGACACCAGGCCATGTGCCACAGCCCCTGGGCTCACTTGTAGGCGTCGTAGACGTCCTGTTTGGGCAGGCAGGTGTCCGTGTGCTCCTCCAGGTGGTTGCGGATCCAGCTGCAGGCGTGCATGTGCTCGGCCGTGCCCAGCGCGCTCAGCTCCAGCGAGGAGGAGCTGCTGCTGCTGCTGCTGCTGCTGCCACCAGCGTGTCCCCAACGTGTCCCCAGCGCGTCCCCACGGGGCACGGGAGAGAGGGGAGCCCGTCAGTGTCACTGCGCTGGCACCGGTGGGACGGATCTGTTCTGGTCTGTCCCAAGGGATCCAGCCCATCCCAAGGGATCCATCCCATCCCATCCCATCCCAAGGGATCCATCCTGGTCCTTCCTGTCCAGATCCATCCCATCCCAAGGGATCCAGCCCATCCTGTCCCAATGGATCCATCCTGGTCCATCCCATCCTGATCCATCCCATCCTGTCCTGATCCACCCCATCCCAATGGATCCATCCCATCCCGTCCCAATGGATCCATCCCATCCCATCCCAATGGATCCATCCCATCCTGTCCCAATGGATCCATCCCATCCCATCCTGATCCATCCCATCCCGTCCCAATGGATCCATCCTGGTCCTTCCTGTCCAGATCCATCCCGTCCCAATGGATCCATCCCATCCCATCCCGTCCCATCCCATGGATCCCATCCCATCCCAATGGATCCATCCCGTCCTAGCTCCATCCCATCAGATCCATCCTGATCCATCCTGTCCTGATCCATCCCATCCCATCCCAACGGATCCATCCTGATCCAGCTCTATCCCCATCCCATCCCAACACCTCCATCCCACCCCAGCCCTATCCTGATCCATCTCCACCCCATCCCACTCCATCCCATGGATCCCCCACCAGATCCCATCCCATGGATCCCCCACCAGATCCCATCCCATCCCATCCCATCCCATCCCATCCCATCCCATAGATCCCACCCCACAGATTCCATCCCATCCCATGGATCCCATCCCACAGATCCCATCCCATCCCATCCCATCCCATGTATCCCACCCCACAGATCCCATCCCATCCCGTCCCATCCCATGGATCCCATCCCATCCCAATGGATCCATCCCGTCCTAGCTCCATCCCATCAGATCCATCCTGATCCAGCTCTATCCCCATCCCATCCCAACACCTCCATCCCACCCCAGCCCTATCCTGATCCATCTCCACCCCATCCCACTCCATCCCATGGATCCTCCACCAGATCCCACCCCACAGATCCCATCCCATCCCATCCCATGGATCCCCCACCCATCCCATCCCATCCCATCCCATGGATCCCACCCCACAGATTCCATCCCATCCCATGGATCCCATCCCACAGATCCCATCCCATCCCATCCCATCCCATG